TAAAAAGGCCAGTGGTTGTCAGGGTTTTGAGGAGAGGGAAGGAGGGATGAATAGGTGTAATACAGGGGATTTTTAGAGCAGTGAAACTATTCTTCATGATACTGTATGTACATGATGTTATACATTTATCAAAACCCACAGACCCGTACAACACAAAGAATGAACCTTAATGTATACTGTGGACAACACATTAATAATAATTTATCAGTACTGGTACATTAAATGTACCACACAATACAAGATGTTAGTAATATGGAAAACTGCAGGGGAAGGGGTAAGCATGTAGGAACTCTCTATGCAATCAGCTTAATTTTTCTGAAAATCTAAAATTTTATTTTTTATTTTTATTTTTTTAAAGATCTTATTTATTTATTTGACAGAGAGAGAGAGCACAAGCAGGGGGAGCAGCAGGGAGAGGGAGAAGCAGACTCCCTGCTGGGCACGGAGCCCCATACAGGGCTCAATCCCAGGACCCTCGGATCATGACCTGAGCTGAAGGCAGGACGCTTAACCATTTGAGCCCCCCAGGAGCCCCCCAATCTAAAACTTTTGAAAAATAAAGTCGAGGGGCGCCTGGGTGGCTCAGTCGTTGGGCGTCTGCCTTCGGCTCAGGTCATGATCCCAGGGTCCTGGGATTGAGCCCCGCATCGGGCTCCCTGCTCGGTGGGGAGCCTGCTTCTCCCTCTCCCGCTCCCCCTGCTTGTGTTCCCTCTCTCGCGTGTCTCTGTCAAATAAATAAATAAAATCTTAAAAAAAAGAAAAAAAACCGATTTAAAAAAAATCACTCTGGAAGCAGTGCAGAGAGTGGACTGACAAAGTACAGGAAATGCAGGCAAGCACACCAGTTTGGAGGTTATGCTTTCACTCTCATGAACAGAGTATGAGAGTCTGTATTTATTCATATTTTTGCCAGAAATGGGTATTGTGATCGTTAGTAAAAACTAACTTATTCAAGGAGCACCTGGGTGACTCAGGCAGTTAAGCATCAGATTCTTGATTTCGGGTCAGGTCATGATCTCAGGGTTGTAGGACTAAGTCCCACATCCAGCTCCTCGCTGGGTGTGGAGCGTGCTTAAGATTCTCTCTCTCCCTCTCGCTCTTCCTCACCCCTGCATGCATGCGTGCTCTCTCTCTCTCTCTAAAGAAAACAAAAAACAACAAAAAACAACTTATTCTAGTTCATATTTCCTTAATGACTAATGAGGCTGAGCATCTTTTCTTTTTTTAAAGATTTATTTATTTGAGAGAGAGAAAGACAAAGACAGAGACAGAGATAGGGAGAAGCAGGCTCCGTGCTGAGCTGAAGGCAGACGCTTAACTGACCGAGCCACCCAGGTGCCCCTGAACATCTTTTCATAAGATAACTGACCATTTGTTTTTCTGTTTTATATCCTTTGTCTATTTTTCAGTTGAGTTGTTTGTTCTCTCCCTACTGATTTATAAATTCTTTGAGTTTAAATAAAACTTTCTGTATTTTATCACAGCTTTAAAAATATCTTTTGAATTTTATAGCTATCATTTATAATCATTGCATATTATTTCATCAATATACTGTAACTTACTCATTGTTTAAAATCAGTTCTTAATAGTTTTTTCTTTTTTTTCTTTTTTTTTAAAGATTTTATTTATTTATTTGAGAGAGAGAATGAGATAGAAAGAGCATGAGAGGGAAGAGGGTCAGAGGGAGAAGCAGACTCCCTGCTGAGCAGGGAGCCCGATGCAGGACTCGATCCCGGGACTCCAGGATCATGACCTGAGCCGAAGGCAGTTGCTTAACCAACTGAGTCACCCAGGCGCCCAATTCTTAATAGTTTTTTTAATATCACAGATGCCATTATGAAAATTTGTACACACAGATTTTTCTCCATTATGAATTCTTTCCATTGAACACCTTTCTGTAATTGAAAATACTGAATCACAAACTAAAAACACATTTTAATACTTTTGATAGAAACGATATTAGCAATTTATTCTGCTGAGGCGTGTGGGTGGCTGAGTCAGTTAAGCACCTGGGACTCTTAATTTTGGCTGAGGTCATAATCTCACAGTCATGAGATCGAGCCCCCATGTTGGACTCTGCAATCAGTGGAGTCTGCTTGAGATTTCCTCTCCTTCTCCCTCCTCCCACCTGGCTTGTACGCATGCGCACTTCTCTCTCAAATAAATAAAATCTTTAAAAAATATTTTTATTGGGGTGCCTGGGTGGCTCAGTTGGTTAAGTGTCTGCCTTCGGCTCAGGTCATGATCCCAGGGTCCTGGGTTTGAGCGCCGCCATAAGGCTCCCCTGCTCAGGAGGGAGCCCGCTTGTCCCTCTCCCTCTGCTGCTCCCCCTGATTCTGCTCTGTCAAATAAATAAATATTTTAAAAAATGTATATTACCATCAGCAATATATTAAAATTCTAGATTCACTGCATCCACACAAGCGCTAAATATTATAATATTTAAATACATCTGCTAATTTAGTAACATAAAAGTTTTCTTTTTATTTACTTGTAGTTTTCCATACCTATTAGTGAAAACCAACACTTTCTATATATTTACTGGTTTTGTTTTTCCTTGAGAAATTCTGGTTTATATTCTTTGCTCATTAATCTAAAAGGACATAAGGATTTTTTCTTCAATCACAACAACAGATCTATACAGGTATTTTAATAATAAACTAGCCCTTTTTTGTCTGCATTTGCAGCAAATATTTTTTAGATTCTACTGGTTTCCATTTATTTATTTATTTGGTTTCCTTTTAATTTTAGTTATATATTTGTGACATACAGAAAACTGAATTTTTATGCAGTAAATCTAACAATTGTCTTTTGTGAACTAGTCTATCATTTCTAAACTTAAATGATTATACTCCATTCAGTAGTTTGAAAATTATCCTTTGTATTTTTCTACAATTCAATGATTTACGTTTAACTTATTAATCTCACTAAATTTAAATTTGTTTACAAAAATAATAGCTATCATTTGCTGAGTAGTCATTATATAACAGGTACTATTCCAGACCCTGTTTATATATGTAAATTTTTTTTTTTTAATTTTATTTATTTCTCTGACACAGAGAGTGAGCACAAGCAGGGGGAGCGGCAGGCAGAGGGAGAGGGAGAAGCAGGCTCCCCGCCGAGCAGGGAGCCCAATGCGGGGCTCAATCCCAGGAACCTGGGATCATGACCTGAGCCGAAGGCAGACGCTTAACGACTGAGCCACTCAGGCGCCCCTATGTATGTAAATTTATTTCATCCTTACAACTACCCTGTATAGGTTAGTTATTTTTAGTATCCCAATTTCTAAGATGAGAAAACGAAAGCCTAGTGTGGTTAAGTAATTCAGCTAGATCATATAGATAGTATATCTGGCAGAACCTGGGTCTTATGCAGAATTGTCTGACTCCAGAGCCTGTGCTCCACCCCCACCTTTAAAGATTTTTTATTTGAGAAAGAGAGACAGAGAGAGAGAGAAAGAGCAAGAGTGAGAGCCAGTGGAGGACAGAGGGAGAGGGAGAGAGAGAATCTCAAGCAGACTCCCCGCTGAGAGCAGAGCCTGACACGTGGCTTGATCCCATGACCCTGAGATCATATCAAGAGCTGGATGCTTGGGGCACCTGGGTGGCTCAGTTGGTTAAGCGACTGCCTTCGGCTCAGGTCATGATCCTGGAGTCCCGGGATCAAGTCCCGCATCAGGCTTCCCGCTCAGCGAGGAACCTGCTTCTCCCTCTGGCCCTCCCCCCTCTCATGTGCTCTCTCTCTCTCTCTCTCTCATTCTCACTCTCTCAAAATAAATAAATAAATCTTAAAAAAAAAAAAAAAAAAGAGCTGGATGCTTAACTGACTGAGCCTTCCAGGTGCCCCCGTAGTCTGTGCTTTTAACCACTATATTATATTGATATTCAAGTTATCTTAACGCAATTTTTATTTTATTTTTATTATTTTTATTATTTTTAAAGATTACTTATTTATTTGAGAGAGAGAGAGAACACAAGCAGGGCGAGCATCAAGCAGAGGGAGAGTGAGAAGCAGGCTCCCTGCTGAACGAGGAGCCTGATGCGGAGCTTGATCCCAGGACCCTGGGATCATGACCTGAGCTGAAGGCAGATTCTTAATGACTGTGCCCCTTAATGCAACTTTTAAAAAAAAGATTTTATTCATTTGAGAGAGAGACAGAGATAGTGAGAGAGAACACAAGCAGGGGGAGGAGCAGAGGGAGAGGGAGAAGCAGGCTCCCCGCTGAGCAAGGAGCCTGATGTGGGGCTCAATCCCAGGACCCTGGGATCATGACCTGAGCCGAAGGCAGACGCTTAACCAACTGAGCCACCCAGGCATGCCTCTTAATGCCATTTTAAAGAAATAATTTTTTTTTTTTTTTTTAAAGATTTTTTATTTATTTATTTGAGAGAGAGAGAATGAGAGACAGAGAGCACGAGAGTGAAGAGGGTCAGAGGGAGAAGCAGACTCCCCGCCGAGCAGGGAGCCCGATGCGGGACTCTATCCCGGGACTCCAGGATCATGACCTGAGCTGAAGGCAGTTGCTTAACCAACTGAGCCACCCAGGCGCCCCTAAAGAAATAATTCTTTAACCATTGTTCTGTGATGCCTCCTTTACTAGAATTCTTTTTTTTTTAAAGATTTTATTTATTTATTTGACAGAAAGAGACATAGTGAGAGAGGGAACACAAGCAGGGGGAGTGGGAGAGGGAAAAGCAGGCCTCCCGCAGAGCGGGGAGCCCGATGCAGGGCTCGATCCCAGGACCTGGGATCATGACCTGAGCCGAAGGCAGACGTTTAACAACTGAGCCACCCAGGCGCCCCTAAAATTCTTTTCACAGCGTCTCTTTTGGATTAGTTTGCTCTACTGATTTGTCTTTTTAAAGTAACCATACATGGTTTTAAATACTGTAGCTATTAAAATATGTTTTAATGTTTCAAAGTTTTAGGATATGTTTTAGCAAAATTTTAAAAGGAATACCAAGTACTTGAGGAAAAATGCAATCTTAAGATATTCTTACCATACACTGGTGTCTTTCCTGGCAGGATGACAATAATGAGCTGTAGCCCAGAGTAGGTGTTCTTGAGATGCCGGAACATGGGCTCCACGCTGTCTGCCCCCTGCGCGTATTTGCAGAAGCAAGGCTGGCCCTGGATGGGCATCCCTGCATCTTTAGAAATCTTACGTAGCTGGTCCGTGAAACCCCTAGGAGGAGAAATCACTAAAACTAAATCCTTTGTTTAGTCATCCACACCTACAAAGTGGAATGGAAAGTTTGAGAAGTGAATGGAGAATAAAGCAAAGACTTGTGTGCTCCATATGTGAAGAGGTCACCAAGACTACTGATATTAAAGGTGGTGGTGGGTTAGTAATCTATTGTGCAAACTAGGAACACTGCTATATAATTATGTGGCATTCTGTAGTTTACAAAGGGCATTCGTAATAGAGTATGCTGATTAAGAATTCAGTTCTAGAGTTGGCATGACAGGTTTCAATCCTAGTTCTGTTACTTAGTAGCTGTGAAATTGTAGACAAATTCTTCAGTTTCTCTCATCTGTAAAATGGTTACTTCCATTATAGGGTTGGTGTCAATATTAAATGACATAATACATGAACTTAGCAACACTGCCCAAGACATGGTAAGAGCTTCATAAATTTAATCTACTCTACATTTTCTAATTTGATCATGATGACATTCGTAAGAAGGTGGTAAGTGAGGTATTATTTCCATTTTATAGATCAGGAAACAGTTTCAGGGACATTAAGTATCTGACCAATGTCAAATGGTTAGATAAATGGTAGAGTCAGAAGTATGATCTAGTCCAGAATTTCCTTCCACAATATTATGTATCTGAAACTAGGATGGCAGGAAAGATTGTATTCTCAGAAAAGATTAAAAAAAAAAATGAAAACCACATTTAAAAACAAGTGAGGCAGGCAGCACTTCAATGTACTTGTAGCCACACTAAAAACAACAAAAGACTAATAATTCCATATTTAAACAAAATTCTGCATTTAGCCTAAGATAAGTGAGTAATGTTGTCATTATTTAACAATCACTTTACTTGTTTTTAAAACAAATAACATCCTAAGTCAAGGATCTGAGTTATCTTTGCTCAAAAATACTCATTCCCTCAGAGCTGAAGTTTATAGGAATTCCCTTCTCCTTTTCCTTATTAGTGTTTAATTCAAGAAGTATGAAGTTGGATATTTTCAGTCAGCTTGAACAAGAACCACAAGCCGAAAGAGTATGAGAGTCCTATCAAGCCATAAATAACAAATGTAAAATGAAAAGAATAACTCTAAGCTTGAAAAACAATTGGAGATATTTTCTTTGGCCTCTGGAGGTCAAGTAAGATGATCACAGCATTGTAGTAAACTGTCCTTATGACATTTTACTTGAAAGCAGGGGGATAAAAACTTCTGAGCAAAATGTGCATTAAGTGAACCTTAAGATATACATTTAGAAATTTGGAGCTAATAAAAAAAAAGTGAACAGAATTAAATGGAAAAAGTTTTTTATTTCTCATATGAAGAAGGTAAGGCAAATTCTGAATTGGCTTGGTTGGTAAATTGGCCTCTGTATCTTTCAAGAACTATTCATAATGGGCATACTTTCTAGGATCTATTAGTGGAGATTTAAATTAGACAATAATCATTTTCTTAAGCAAATTAGATTTTGGGTGAGTCAATTTACATAAATAATCACAGTACAACTGTATTTTATGCAGAAGGTGATAAGAGCAAATAGAGAAGATACTGATAAACTAGTATGTTTAGAGTTAAGACAGATTATTTCCAGCATCACAAATCACAGAAGATTGGGTATTATTTAGAGGAGTAGGGATAGGAAGGAGGCATTTTCAGTAATAAGCAGCATGATCGGAAAGAGAAAGAAAAAAAATGCCGGAGAGAAAGAGCGAACACAGTGCTTCAGTTTCTTTGTCCAGAATATGGGAAAATGGAGAAGGGGCTTAAGAGGCAGGTGAAAGATTTTCAATGTCCTACTGTTTTTTATTGTTATTCTTTGTTAAGAGAAGTCTAAAAATTTTGGGTGGAGGGTAGTCACAAGTGGAGGTGGTACTCTTTCATGACAGCCCGGCTGCTCAACAGGAATGAGAGCAGAAGCCTTTGAGATTGCCAAAGTCTCAAAGACTTGAGGGTCCCAAGGAGAGGAGACAGAGAAGAAGAGAAGCCAAAGTGATAAAAAGGAACCAGGAAGGCAAGAATGGAGAGAATGTTAAGAAGGTAGTCAACTGTATTTAATGCTGCACAAATTCTGAGAAAAATAATGGCTAAGGAAAGACTATTAGAATTGATAAGCACAAAGATGTTGGAGATTTCCAGAAGCTAGTTTCAGCAGAGCACTAGGATTTCAAGGGGGGTGAGAAAACAGAAGTCTAGAACCCTGAAATAAGTTAGGTAAAATGAGAAAACTGACAGATTTTTTTGTTTGTTTTAAATTTGAACAGAAGATTATTGAGCACTTACATGCTGAGATAAAGAATCTGGGGAACAGGGAAAGTGGTGGAGATGGAGGCCAAATTTTTGGAAGAAGTGAAAATGAAGAGTTAAGTCACTCTTTCAAGGAGCTCAATTGAGAAATAAGGACCTTCTTTAATCCTCACCCAAGAGGTAGGTATTGTTATCTCTAAAAAGGTGAAAACTGAAGCATAATGAAATTAAATAAATTATTCATGGTAATAAAAGCTAGGAATTGGCAAGGCTGGGAATTAAACCTAACCTATTTGCCATCAAAAGCCAATGATGCTCCTATACCACATAAGCTAGATTGTTAGGATGCCTAGAAGAATGAATCAATGACTTGACTAACAAATCTCCATCAAACTATTGAGAAGAAACATTTTTAGAGGTTCAGTGATTAAATATATTCCATATTGAGGCAACACTGGTTAGAATATTAGCTGAGTAGTTTAAAGTTGAAACACAAAATTGAAACACAAAAAGTTCCCCAAACCAAACTAATGACATGCCTTACTTCAGTATTTCTTCTCTGCACTGCCTCTGCGTGGCAAAACAAGCTATAGCCCACATTTTTATCTCAACTCCTGTGTGAAATTGCTTCCCCCGCATGTCCCATACTCCATGGCTTGGTGTTGCTACTGTCCGATTCTACAGAAAAAGGAGAAAGAAAAATAAGGCAAAAAAGAAGAAACACTTAAAATACAATTTCTTTCACTGAGCTGAAAAGAAAAACATTTCAAACTGAATTGATAAATATCTGATAATCTACATGTAATACACTGATCTAAATCAATATTACTTATATTTTTTATCATACAAACCAAAAACTCTAAACTCAAGCAAAGATACCTTGAAACAAAAAAGTACTGTTGGAGCAAAAAAAAAACCACTTTCCAAAACTCAGACTTAGCTAGGATGCTCTTCTCTCTGTAAACAGAAACTGTATGTTTATAATTAAGAAACTATCAAGAGGTTTTACCCGTCCTCCATACTGCAGCATAGGTGCTGGAAGTACACGTCCGGTTACGTGGGCCATTTCATCCCGAACTTTAAATTGAAACTCCTGAACAAATGGATCTGTTTCATAATTTGCACTTCTTACCTAACAGAAAAAATTCGTAGTTACTTTCAGAATTTCTTCCAAGCCCCTGCTTCATTCGTTAGAAACCTCCATTTTCTTTTCTTCACTGTGTCCACAATGTTTTGGACTAGTCAATGATGCCCTAACTATAGGACAGGGAATCTTAACCTGGGTCAACAGATCATGAATGGACTGTAGGAAGTCTGTGAACCTCCTGGTAATTTACAGAAATTTAAATGTATTAGGTTGAATAATAAGAAATTTCAACTATTTACAATCCGTGAAGATGCCAATTTTATATGATTAAACCTAATGCATTTAGGAGAGGGTGGCCTAGAGATTACAGGAGAAAGAAATTGCTGACTTAAAAAATGTTAAGAACTTCAATTAGAAGATCCAGACATGTATTATTAAAATTTATTTTACATAGAGTTTGACAGCAGATATTGATGATCTTAAGGCTTTTTTTTCTAATTATTTGATTTACAACTTATATAAAATTACTTGAATATTTCCAGATAAAAAGGGCCATATTATAAAATTTACTTAATGCGATACATTTGAGACAGGTAAGAAAGCCAATATGATACAGATGATAATTTTTACATAATATATCTGTAGTTACAAAGATAAAGAATTTTTTTTTTAAAGATTTTTATTTATTTGACAGAGAGAGAGAGACGGTGAGAGAGGGAACACAAGCAGGGGGAGTGGGAGAGGGAGAAGTAGTCTTCCCACGGAGCAGGGAGCCCGATGCGGGGCTCGATCCCAGGACCCTGGGACCATGACCTGAGCCGAAGGCAGACGCTTAACGACCGAGCCACCCAGGCACCCCAAGAATTTTTTTTTTTAATTTAAATTTTGTTAGTTAACATACAGTGCAATACTGGTTGATAAAGAATTTATTTTGGGACACCTGGGTGGCTCAGTCACGTAAGCGTCTGCCTCCGGCTCAGGTCATGATCCCAGGGTCCTAGGATCAAGTCCTGCAACAGGCTCCTTGCTCAGCAGGGAGCCTGCTTCTCCCTCTGCCTGCCGCTCCCCTCTGCTTGTGCGCTCTCTCATGCTGACAAATAAATAAATAAAATCTTAAAAAAAAAGGATTTATTTTAATTCAGTATAGACTTGGACCTCAGAATATAATTCATGTTTACAGCATGCTAAGTAACTGTGTTTTTCAAAACATATTTACTTGGTCTGAGAGTAAAAGTCAAATGAGGTTACAAAATGAAGGCAGTGTTCAAGTGTTTGAGTAACAATCCATTAAAAAAAAACTATATAATCTAAATATGTAAAAAGAATCTTTCCACAATAAGCAGGAATGGTTGTTTTCTAAGGTTAGGCACTAATGGTTCTTTAAGCTTAAATGGCATTCATTTCTGGTGTGTTTTAGTGTATATTCATAGTAAGGTTACAAAGAGTAGTAACTACTATAAATAAAAACTTGCTGCATGATGTGCTTGGTGTTAACGTTCATAATTAATTTCCACAATAGGGCGCCTGGGTGGCTCAGTCGGTTAAGCGACTGCTTTCGGCTCAGGTCATGATCCTGGAGTCCCAGGATCGAGTCCCACATCGGGCTCCCTGCTCGGCAGGGAGTCTGCTTCTCCCTCTGACCCTCTTCCCTCTCGTGCTATCTCTCATTCTCTCTCTCTCAAATAAATAAAAAAAATCTTTAAAAAAAAAAATTTCCACAATAACCTTATAACTATAAAAGGAGATTTTTTTTAAATAATCTTTACAGAGGATAAATCTAAAAATTAGTAAAGCCTAAAAACCATCTAGCCAAACAAGTGACACAGAATCTGAAACCACGTATGTTTTGATTCTAGAGTTCTTACTCTCAGTCACTGCACTAGTCTTCTGGATGCTATAATTGTAATAACACAATAGTAACAGTAAGGAAGTGAAGATAGACTTTGGACCCAGAGCTGTTAGATTCCAAAGCCTGTGCTTTTAGCCATGGTACAATATTATCTCTTAGGAAGAAAAGTTGTAATAAATGAGTTAGAAGTAGTTATTGAGATTTTACAGAGACAGTGAGAGGTTTAGCCTCCTATAGGCTTTAAAATCCTGTCACAATAGATCAGAAAAAAATCCATGATGAAAACCAACCCATATTCTCCTAAATAACTATCATATAATAACTTTTATTTATTCTTTATAAAACCATATGGGAAAAAGGCTCTTTTTCCCTGTAACTGGCTTACAAAATGAAAGGGCCAGTTCCATAACCCTTTTATAACAATCTTCACTATTACCCAAAGTCATATTCCTATTTCTAGACTTTTTTCTCATCACTTGCACAATACAAATGGTATTCAAAAAGAGAGTAAGGTAAGATCCAGGTGGCTTTTATTTTTCATTTTGCCTTATTCCATCAGTTTTATAAAGTGGTACTGATACTCTTCCTTCCTATCCATTTAGAACAATGATACAGCTCAGAGACCCTACATGATTGGAGCAGTCTCATATTTCTTTATTCATCTTATACAGTCACCAGTCTGATACTGGGGGCTAAGCGATCCTACTGAGTGTTAAGACTCACTACTGCTAGTCATAATACGTTGACTTTTCTTCCTTTCCCTTTCTCCTTTAGGCAGGAGGTAATAAAGTTCCAGTTCATTAAGTTGAAACGTTGGTTCTGAGAGCATCTGCTCTAGATCTAATTAAAGAGCTTTGGGTTAAATTAGAAGAATGTAATCCTTCTCATAGAACCCATTAAGGTTTACCCCTAGAACACCACTGGATGACTTCCATGATCCCTTTTAATTTTAATAGTCCGTTAAATGGTAAAAAGGTATGAGCTGATGAGGACATGGCTCTTTAGTAGTAGCTCATCCTAACTTGTTTTTGTGTGTGTGTGTTTTTTTTAAAGATTTTATTTATTTATTTATTTGAGAGAGAAAGCGAGCACATGAATGGGGGAAGCAGCAGAGAGAGAGGAAGAAGGAGACTCCCCACTGAGCAGGGAGCCTGACTCAGGGCTCGATCCCAGGACACCCAAGAGCCCCCATCCTAACAGGTTTTTTTAATTCCCATTTCTAGGGTCAAATACTAACCAATCTGCTAATTTCCTCTTGTCTGTCTGGCGCAGATCTTGCTGTTGCTTTGATCATAGTGGAAGTCTGATTGTCCGTTAGCTTCTTGATACATCGTTGCCCTGCCACGATATTACAGACCTACAAACAGAAAAAAGTTTTGTACTAGATGTATTTAACTTTTTTTAACTCTAATTGCCAATTGCATGCAAAATTAAAATTTTAAAACCTACTTCATTAAACTGCTTCTTTTTAATATGATGTTAAGTAAAATAGTAGTAAACAATACTGCTTTACAGTATGATTATAACAGGGTAAAATGTACACTGGATAAAAAGGCTGAAAAGAAGTGTACCAAAATGTTAACAGTGGTTACTTTAGAGTGGTAGGATTGTGGATGAAAATTTCCCTATTATTTCATTATTAAAATTTTAAAATAAAATAAAAATTAAAAAAGTTCAATATCCAAAATAACTTGAGAGCATGAAGTAAATTATACATCATAAAAAAACCCAAAAGAATAATGAACAAGAGGATATTAAAAATCAGCCTAAACACATTACTTCTAGTGGCAGGTAGGTATGTTTCTGTTCCTGCCCCACTTGCAGACAAGGAAGATGTGGGTACTTCAGCTGAAGAGTATACTTTTCTCTAAAATACTGTGCTACTGTTCTCTCCACAGTTTGGCCATTTTCTAACTGTAAAGGAAAGCTGGAAAAAAAAAAGTACACATTAACAACTCTCATCTCATTATGGTGAGCAAAACTCCCAATCCACTAACTAGAGCAAGCTGCCTCACATCAATCTCTGCTCTGACAAACACCAGCTTTTCTTACGTTTGATGACTGGCAGGCCTTCTTGTTACATTACAAACACGGTATTTCCGTCTCATTGTTCCACAATGAGTCACTTCAACCTTCAGACCTGTTCCCAACAAGAAAAACTGAAGTTATAAAAATGTCACATGTCGAATATTTTTAAAGCCTGTTCACTACTATACAAACTCAAATTCTAAACAGACAGAAAAATCTGTGATACAGGCAATGTGATATTAATAAAAGATTTTATAAATGACATTGCTAGTAAGGATTACAACCAGGATAGATCTAATTCCAAACATTTTTTCCCTATCCTATCAAGCACTACACACTAAAAAACAGAGTCATAAAACTTGCAAAAGCCTATAGAACAAGGGGCAAAGTTCTCCATTAATTGAAAAAAAAAAAAACAACAACCCTGTTTATAATAAATTTAGGTATTATGCTGTGAGAAGGAAGGAGGAGTGAAAGACGAGTTGTAATAATTCTCAACATTCCCTATAATTTTCAAAGTATGTGATATTTGAATAGACAGTCATCACATAGTGACTGAAGATTAGAATTTCATGAATCTCTAGAAGGAAGTCCTTCAAAGATTTTTAAAGGAGGAAGAAAAAAATTCCAGGCCCTTTTAACAGAAGCAGAATGACAATTTATTTGAAGTATAAGATAGTGACACAGTCCTCTTACTACTGACTATCAGAAATTAAATGCAACCAAAACAATTCTTAGAGCAGGTGGTCCCTACCTTCTTATACAATCACTGACCCCTTTGAGAGTCTGATGAAAGCAATAAACTCTCAGAAAACTGGATATACACATAATTTAGCATATGATTTTAGGTGTTCCTGGATCCTTACAGTCCATCCGTGGACCACAGGAGTTTGAAGATCCCAGGCCTGCTTTAGAAAGTGAAGCAATGGTCTTTTAAACCACTGGTGAAATTCTCTGGGGTTAATTTTCTTAAGCAGAGTTGTCCAATAGAACTTTCTGAGATGATGGAATGTTCTACATCTGTGCTAATTACTAGCAATATGTGTTATGGAGCACATTAAATGTGGCTAGTGTGACTAAGTGAAAATTTATTCTAATTTAATTAATTTAAATAGCTACATGCGGCTGGTGCTACTGTATTTGCCAGTGCAATCTCCGAGCTACCTAGAGAAGAGTTAACAAACCGACACAGGGGCCACTGCTTATAGATAAGCAACTCCATTACTATGGCCTAGACACCTAAGGCAGAAAATCTAGGAGTAGAAGAAGGACAACTTTTAGTTTCCTGATAGTATTTACGGTATTACTTTTGCATTATTTCCCTGTTATATTTGTGATTCCTATTGTGTAGTGGTTCTCAACCACAGACAATTTTGCCCTCCGGGGAACCTTTGGTAATGTCTGGAGACATTTTTAATTGTCATGACTGCGGGGTGCTATTGGCATCTAATGAATGCTAGAATTAGGGATTCTTGGATCCAGGGCTGGTGCTAAATATCCTACAATGCACGGGACAGCACTACCTCCCACCTCAGACCACAACAAAGAATTATCCAGCCCAAAATATCAACGCTGGCGAGGTTGAGAAACCCTGCAACAGTGTAACTTATTTTTCTATCTAATTACTAACTGCAGTACCAAACACAAAGTTCATTCATAGTAATATTTTCTTCTGTCCAGCACAAATTAAGATGTTAAATGGACACAGTGTCACTGTACCAGATTGGTATGGATTTTTCTTGAGAAATACTAACTGAATCAGTGGTAAGTAGTTTTTATTAGTAATTACCTTTATAAAACTAAAATTTCAGACTAGAACATTTACTATGCCTCTATATTATAAAGAAGACTAGAAAATAAAATATTATCTAAAGAAGGCCTCATAAGAAGGAAATGTGAAGTAAGCAATATGAAGTAATAATATGAAGCAGGATGTAAAAATATTATGTATGGAAATACTATGTTTTAGGATTATTTTTCTGCTATCTATACCACTTAGCAATTTTTTTACAAGTCTTCCCCTGAATTAGAGAAGTTACTAGTAAGATTCTAATAGCCTACAAAATAAGTTTTTACCAAAAATAAAGTGGTTCTTTTATAAGCATATGGTACTTCTACCATACACTTCCCTCAGTATTTCTGTTTAACCATGATGAATAATTGTACAAAGGAACCACCCTAAAGTTACTGTTAAATATTTAGATAAAAGTCGAACTGGAACCAAATGAACGTACTAAGGAAATCTATTCATGACAGCACACTTTGTATCACTATTTAACAGTTACCATCAAATTCCTCATGCTGGTTAAAAATTAAGCCCAAATATATAGCACAGAATACATAACTCTGATTCTCTTGAATTTCCATGGTAGGATTACATGATGTATGTTAAAAAACTTGCTTTTGAAAAACAACAACAACAAAACCCCCCCCAAAAAGTTAACAAAGCCTTTGTGACTTTGAATGGAGGAAAAAAAATCATCAGTTGGTCAGTTAGATCCAACTCAGATTTTTCTACCCCAAATCTAGGGTCATAGGTGCCTAAGGATTTGACCCAACCCAGGGCTTAGCAAAAAGTTAAAATTTTAAAAAATGGACTAGATAATTCTCTGCCCAGGTCCCTCCCAAACCCCTCCATCCAACCAAAAAAATTTTTGGCTTTAATAAATCAAATATTTAACCTATAAACTTGGCTTTACCTTCACTATAACATCAACTTTATAATGCTTTCTAGTCATTTTTTCAGTCATTTCTTTGGGCCCCTGAGCAGTTGAAGTTAAGATCGAGTCCATGCTCTTCGGGCAGCAGTTGCATCCTTGTTCTGTACATCTTGTATTTTCTGTGATAGAGTGGTGATATGAGTTGATTGCATAGTTACCGCAAAATAATGTAAGTGACTTCATGATATCAGAGGTGGTAACTAAGCAGCAACTCCACTGGAAACCATGGCATTTGGATGATCACACATTAATGGTGGGTAATGCACTAACCTCTCGACAATGCTAACTGTGCAGTTAATACAGATTATGAAAGGACAATGGTATGGTTGCAATACACTAATATATAACACTTTATTATTTTGGCATTTAACTAACTTGAGATAAATGGATGCTCATTTTCAAAGCAGGAAGGATTTTCCTTTTAATGTTTTATTAACAATGACTATCTTTCTCCTGGGTACTGAATGGCAAAGAATGAATGATTACTGGAGCAAGCAGGATGCATTGAGCTATTCTGATTTGGGGAACTGAAAGATGTTCAGTTAACAAACTTCAATGTTTCATTCAAACCAGAAGCTGAAAATTATCTGCAACAGTTAAAATCTGAAATAAAAAAACTATTTCTAAGATTTAACACTTAATATAAATAGAATTTATACTACTCATTCTAATTAGAGAATATCTAATTCTTCTTCATGCCTAAATAAAGAACTAAATACAGTGGAGTCACATCTTACTTGAGGATTAGGTTCTAAGCTGTGAACAAGGCAAGAATTTTACACAATCAAAATTACTCTTGAAAAATTCCTTAAATTACTGATAAAGTGTTTATGTGTTTGCATATTAAACTGTAAATGTATATTTAAATGTATATAGAAATGTACATTTATATAAAGATGACATAAATACAATACAAATTTTAGAACATTATTAAAATTACTTTTTCTTATTCTCTCTAAAAGACCATGTAGAGATGAATTTATGTTAGGAAAATATATATAGGATGCAACACCACTGTACAGATCTTAGCTACTAACTAAAATAGGCAAGATCAATGATCAACTATATAATGTACACAAAACAACGAAGTTCCAACTCTGAAATAACACATGAAACAGGCTAGCCCTGTATCCATAAAGTTTCAAAGGAATAAAATATTCAACCATTTCAGAAAAATAAGGAAGTCATTATTTTAGAATATGTTAAAATAATGACTCCAGTTCTGACATAACAATGTTTTTGGAATGTTTCCTTTTATCAGTATTATAGAAATATTTTCCCATGAGATATTCTTCTTATACCTTTAGCTAGTAACAGCAAGTATTAATGAAAAATTCACTGGTATCAATATTAATTTCATTACTTGGCATTTCATTCAAACACTAAGATGTAATGGCAATGAATTTAATGTAACATTTTATAATCTATATTTTCACAGATGATGTTATATGAACAGACTTAAAAAATTTTTTTCAATAAAAGTTTGTTATATTCATGCATTTTATAGTTAAGTTGTTCCAAATGCTAATTAATTCACCTTTTATCTCTTTGGTGAATTTTACTCGATGGGAATCAGTCAGAGGTCTTGGTTGCTCATCAATATTATGAATGTCAAGAACTTCACACATGAACTGAATTACAGGTTGTGCTTTGTAGAAGGCAGTGGCAGAAACTAAAAAGAAAAACACAAATAGTACGTGTTAATGTTTCCATAAAAAAATTCAGAAACTTGTGTTCAGTTTCATGATAATTAACTAATTATAGAGTTATAATTATCCTTTATGCATACTTATATATATAAAAAAGCACTGCTGAATTGAGCAGTTTCAATTGGACAGCTGTCTGGAAAACAGGCACAAGAACAGAAAAGCTAAATCCTACAGTTTTTATAATCTAGCTTTCTTCATGGGTAACTGAATAATACCATTCTCTGCTACATATACAGAGAGTGTTCTGGGTATGAGACAAGGCCTGTAAGGGGACAAATGCCAGAGCCCCTTAAGATGAAAAGGTTAGGTATTATTTCCTAAAGCTTTCTATGCCACCCTGGCCTGTTAATCTATTCTGGTGAAAGCTTTCCCTGTCTTGTAGAGAGGTCTGAGAAGACAGTGGTATTACATGTTATTGGTGCTAATCCAAACCATAGGAAATAATACGTAAAGAATATCTGCCCCCCCCAAAAAGAATATCTGCCCAATGTCATTTAGCTACAGTTGGTCGTTCTCTAAGAGCCAACCACAATGATTTCTTAATCTTGGGCTTCAGAACTGGAAGAGCTTCACCAGTGGTTAGATCACCGTCACTCATTTCTTAAACACATACTGGGAAAGCAGAAAAATAACATGATAGTGTGTAGCTTCCTGTTTTGGTTTTGCTTTTCATTGTATCCCCAGTACCTTTATAGCACAAAACAGACAGGAAGCTACACACTATCATGTTATTTTTCTGCTTAAAAAACATGCCTATTGTCTGCTGAGCTAAGTGTAAACATTTTATGTGGTGCTCTTTCTCTCCCTCTCCTTGGTTTAAGGATTAAATGTTCTCCACAAAATGTCCCTCACCTCTGGGAGGATGTTTATCAAGGCTTTAACAGTAGTTATCTCAGGATATGTGTGGGTGGTAAGGCTACTATGGATGTTTTTTATTTTCTTTTTAATTTTATATCTTCACTTATTATAATGAGCACATATTACTTTTTCCTTTAATCCAGCATATATGAATGATGTCTCATCATAAAAAATGCAGATATACAGAATAAAGATTCCCTCCCAACTCAACTTCTGCCCCTCCAAGTATCTTTAAGAAATAACCATCATTAAGGGGTGCCTGGGTGGCTCAGTTGGTTAAGTGACCGACTCTTGGTTTCCGCTCATGATCTCTGGGTCATGAGATCGAGCCCTGCATCAGCTCAGCGCTCAGCGCGCAGTCTGCTTGAGATTCTGTCTCTGCCCCTCCCCTGGCTCACGTGGGCTTGTTCTCTCTCAAATAAAATCTTAAAAAAAAAAAAACAACATTAGTAGTTAAGTATGTACATATTCTGCTTTTTTGATATGCACTTACAAAGATTAGAATGTACATGGAACTTTTTTTTTATTAAGTAAGCTCTTTACCCAACATGAGGCTTGAACTCACGACCCTGAGATCAAGAGTTGCATGCTCTGTGACTGAGCCAGCCAGGCACCCCCATGCGACTTTCTTTTTACATGAGATCAGATAATAAATGTTCCATGATTCGTTTTATTATTTTTTAAATTAACAGTATGTCTTAGAGATCTTTCCATGTCAGTACATTCTTTTTAATGGCCTCATATTATTCCACAGTATCAGTGCATTATAGTTAAGTGAATATATACTCCCTTTCTCTCTTAATAAAAAAAAAACACAAATGGTAAAACTTTAGAAACACTATTCTGGGCTTTGATCTTTTTTTCTCATTAGAGGTCTTACAGATCAATCAATCTACCTACCTATCTATGGAACCATATCATTTTTTTCACCCTTCAGGATATATCATTACATGGATGTACTTCACGTTCCTAATGATGGATCAATAAGTTGGTTTTAATATTACAAAAAATTTTCCAATGGATGTCCTTATATATATTTATTTGCCTGTGGGTGTCTGTACATGTGCACATCCATGAGTACTTCTGTAGGGAAGATTTAAGAGAAAACAGTACTCATTGCTAAACTTCCAACCAGATAAACTTTACAATCACCTCCACAATTTCTAACTAATAAAAAAAGAGATTGATAAGATTATTTTAGCATTCTATCTTTTTTTTAAGTTTTATTTAAGTAATCTCAACACCCAAAGTGGGGCTCGAACCCAATACCTTGGGATCAAGAGTCGCATGCTCTTCCAACTGACCCAGCCAGGTGCCGCAGATTGTATTAGCATTCTAGATCCCTTGTTCACATCCATAGTAGTTTCAAAAATGTATACATTGGAGCACCTGGGGGGTGAAGTTGGTTTAGCACCCAACTCTTGGTTTTGGCTCAGGTGGTGATTGCGGGGTCGTGAGATCAAGCCCCGCCTTGGTTCCATGCTCAGCAGCAGAGTCAGCTTGAGCTTCTCTCTCCCTCTGACCCTCCCCACCGTATGCTCACTCTCTCTCTTTCAAATAAATACATCTTTAAAAAAATATATAATTATATTTTTCTATTAAAAACGTGAGAATATTTTCATGTATTAAAAAAAGCTGACAGGACACATATCAAAATAAGCATATACTGCTTCTGGGTTAATTTTTTAAAAGTAAATAGATAAAGGAAAATAAAAATATGGTAAGTAACATGCTTATTTGCCTTTCCTTTAATCCTTCAGGTAAGTTTTCTTCACTAAACTGTTATAACATTAGCATTCACAACTAATGTATCTTACATCACTGAATTGCAACTACTAAACATTATTTATCCTTTTTAACATTCTTCAATTATTTTAAATTTCCCTACTGTTTATACCACTGTGCTTCTAATCATTTTACGTTTATCATCTTCTCTACAGGAATGTGGGATTTCAGATGAAAATTAAAGTTAATTAAAAAAAATTTTTTTAACAAAAGATGGTTTGAAATCAGTGAGTACACCTGAATTAGGAGTTAATTTCAATGAGCAAAGATCTGCTTCTCTCTGCTGAATCCTTAACAATTTATAAGCCTAAGTATATAGGCATTTTATTCCTTCTTGCCCTTTCAAAACTAAGCTAATTGAAAAGAAATGTTTATGTTTAAAATTTAATCTATTAACAAAACACCCCTATAATGTATTAAAGGAAATAGCACACAACCATTTCTACAAATGATGATCCAAAAAAAGCATTAAATAAAATTCAACACCATAGCTAATATTTATACTGTATCAGGACCAGAAAAGAATTTCCTTAATTTGATAACAGTTATCTATCAAAAATCTATGGTAAATTCAACTTCATTTATTAGAATGTTCTAGTTAGTGCAGTAATACAAGTTAGAGAAATAAAAGGTAAAAAGACTAGAAAGGGAAAATTATTTTTCTTCACAAATATGATTACCTACATAGAAAACCCAATAAAATCTACAAATTAGAGAATTAATGAGAGTTCAGCAAGGTTGCTAGACTTAAGATCAATATATGAAAATAAGTTACATTCTTGTATATATTGGCAATCAACTTAAAATGAAATACAAGTTAAAATTACAACAAAAAACAGTAGGACTTGGGATGAAATCCAAACAAAATATGTATAAGACCTAGAGAAGTAATAGGTATCTTTTTTGGGGGGGAGAGAAGTAATAGGTATCTTTACTATTGGAAAATATTACAGAAGATTTAAAAAATGGAGTAATATACCCTATTCACGTAAGTTATTCCCAAATTAATCTGCAAATTCAAAGCAATTTCAATCAAAATACTGACCGGATATAACCCCCTTGACCTCTGGAAATTAAGAAGCACATCCTAAAATTAACACAAAAAAGCAACGAAACAAGAATAGCCAAGACAGTTTTTAAGACTGAGGTCTGTCCTGTCATTCATCAAGATTTATTATAATCCTATTCAAGTCAAGAGACTGTGAGGATACACAGACCAGCAGAACAGACTTGAAAGCCTTCCTCACACTATATACAAATTCCTATTCAGAGAACTACGTATGAAAAGAAAAATAAGCATTTAGAAGAAAATATAGAATATCTTTATGATCTTGGAGGTAAGGAAGAATTTCTTAAACAAGATACAAAAACTACAAACCATTGAAACTATAAAAATTTTTAAAAATATATAAACTATAAAAAACTATAATTAAAAAAACTATGAAAGAAAACTGTAAGAAAGAAACCCACAAAGCAAAACAAACAAAAAACAACCAAACCCCAGGCTATAGATTGGTAGAGGACATGTGTAGTACCTGTAACAAATAGTTTAGAATATGTAATGAGTTCCTAAAATCAAGATAAAACAAAAGTGGCAAATGACATCAGCTGGCATTTCATAAAACAGAAACCTAAATGTCAAAACCCATAAATCTTCCTGAATTATCTTATGTGTAATTAAGGAAATATACATAACAATACTGACCTATCATTTTACACCATTCAAGATGGGCAAAGAATTTCAAGACCTAGAACACAAACTGACAAGCCAATGGAAAATTGAAAGCTCTTGTACAAACCGTAGGGATATAAACTGATACAGTTAGGAGACAAAACAGTAACATATAATAAATTTGAAGATATGCTTAATTTTTAATCCATCAGTTCCACTATATTGAAATACACTCTAGAGAAATTCCTTATCTGCAAAAGGAGGCATGAGTAAGAATGCTTATTTTAGGTTGTTTTTAATAGTAAAAAGAATGGAAACAACCAAAATATCCATTAGTAAAATGGATAAATTTGGAGTATATGCATATAATTAAAATTGACTAGGCAGCTGTTAGAATTCAGATAAATAAAATTGAGAAATAAAATACAGATACTACTGAGAGGACTTTGGTGGAAAAGGAGATACTGTCTACTACTTAGACTGCCAGTATCTAAATATGCATAATCTACAACTAAGGAAAAAGAAATTCACGAAAAAAGACTATGTCTAGAATACCAGTGGGATAGACTTTCAATTCATCAACACAGATCTCTGAATTTATTAAGGTCATTTAAATTTCATTAAGGTTTTATTTATTTATTTTTTTTA